AGGACTATTGAGACCGTTAGAAATCCCGAGTGGAAATGGGAACATATTACAATGGATTTCGTGTCGGATCGCTGAGAAGCCGGAGAGGACATGACTCAATTTGGGTGATAGTGGATAGGGCGGACTAAATCGGCGCACTTTCGGTGTGCGAAAGGACTTTGAGTTGGAAAGATATGCGGACTTGTATGTGAGGCGGATCGTGAGGTTGCATGGAGTACCGAACGATCACTTCGGACCGTGATCCGAGATTTACGGCCAACTTTTGGAAAAGTTTGCAAACGGCCTTAGGAACGAAGTTACTGGTTCGGCCACGGCATACCATCCACAAACAGATGGCCGGTCGAAAGGACCATTCAAACCTGGAAGATATCTTTGAGAGCTTGTGTGATAGATTTCAAGGCAAATGGGAGGAACAGTTACACTTGGTGGAGTTTGCCTATAACAATAGCTATCGCGGAGCATTCAGATGGCACCGTTTGAAGCCTTATATGGTAGGGCGTGCAGGACGCCAGTATGTTGGGATGAAGTGGATGAACGGAGTATCACGGGTCCGAATTGATCCAACAAACCGTTGAGGCGGTTGAGGTTATTCGAGACGGACTCGGGGCAGCCGTAGTCGTCGAGAAAAGTTATGCCGACGAAGACGACGACCCTTGGAGTTTCGGGTTGGAGATCACGTGTTCCTTAAGGTGTCGCCTATGAAGGGACTATCTAGATTCGGCAAGAAGGGAAAACTGAGTCCTAGGTATGTCGGGCCATTTGAGATTTTGGAAAGGATTGGAGAGATGGCCTATCGACTTGCCTTGCCGCCCAATTTGTCCCAAGTACACAATGTTTTCCACGTGTCGATGATAAGAAAGTATGAACCGGACCCGACCCATGTCTTGCGGTACGAGGAGATAGAAGTGGACGATAGAGTATCGTACGTGGAAAGACCAGTCAGGATCGAGGATAGAAAAGAACGGGTGCTGAGGAACAAAACGATCCCGATGGTCAAAGTTGTCTGGGAGCACCACGGAATAGAAGGTGCCACGTGGGAAAGCGAAGAAGCGATGAGACGTCAACACCCCCAGTTATTTGAGTAGATAAGGATAGATTGCAAATTTCGAGGACGAAATTTTGTAAGGGGGAAGATTGTAACAGCCCGAATTTCGATGTAATTTCGGGATCAATGAAAGCGATATTATTTCGCATTTCATTTTAGTAAGTCTCACCCGGAGCGATCACTCTCGGGATACTAACCAATAGGGTATGGCTAGCTAGAAGATGGTACGTGGACCGGGGACCTGTCGCGAAAGGGATACCGATCACGAGAGACGTTGAGGAAATATTTTGAGCCAATGTGGGCTGATCTTAGGAAAGAGTAATGGATTGGGTTTGGCCAAGGCCAACGATGTACGATTGGGACGCGAGGTGATTCTGCAAGACCAAAGTGCGCGTGGTCAACCGGTCCGGAACTTGAACCTAATGATTGTGACCTCGGAACTAATGATAATTTCTCATTCTCTCAATGATCGAGACCATCACGATACGAATAGCCCTAGGTCGATACGCGTAATCTCTAAGCGCCGCCCGTTAGTGAGAGACTCGAAATTGAAAGTTTAGCGGGTTTTGTTCACGGAATTGGGCCGGATTTCGGTATCGATTTTCAAAGGCTTAAGAGACTATTTTTGGGAATCGACGTCATATTACGCTGGCCACTCACATGTGGAGTTAGTACGAGTAAAATTGGAATTTCGGTCCGGGGTGAAAAATTACGATTTTGCCCCGGGATGCCAGCGTCGCTTTTGAGGCCAAATGAGGTTATTTTTCGTGGCCGATGCCATTTTTGGGTGGCCACGCTTACAGGAGTCATTTTGGACAAAATTGGAATTCGACAAAAATTGGAAAAATAATATTATTTTATTCCCGAAACTTTGACGTGGATTTTCGAGGGCTTGCGCGATGAATTTCGCGATTCCGACGCCATATTATGTTGGCCACGCATATATGGAACGCGTATGTGCGAAAATTGGAATTTCGGTTCGGGACCGGAAAAATGACGGTTTTGCCCTAGGCCATTTTTGGTTCCGAATTTTGGGAAAATTTTAAGGAAATTAATTAAATTTGGACTTATCTTAATTATGGCAATAAAGGACCTAAGTGCCCATGAATTATTGGATAAGATCTAATGTGAACCATTGGATGAGGGGTAAAATGGTCGCATTGGCTTGATTTTTGACACTTGGCACCCCTAGTCTAGATGTTTGACCAAGATAAACTCTCTCTCTCTCTCCTCTCACCCTCATTCTGGCCAGAACAGCTCCCTCTCCTCCGTAGCTCACTCCCCCTCTTCTTTTTTCTCTCTTGATTTTGCCTTGGGAGCTTGCCGTTGGCTACGGAGCACGCCGCCGACCGCCGTGCCTCGCCGTCGACCCCCTTGGTCCCCCGCCACAGCTGCTCGGCCTCGGTTCCGTCCATTTCTCTCTCCCTTTCCCCCTCTTTTTCCCTCTTTTTATCTCTTTTTCTCAATTTACGTTACGTGAACAGTACCGCCGGAACTTCGCCGGAGCTCCGATCGCCGTTCCGTCGGCACCGGCTACATTCAAAGCATGTCCATACGTCGCCGTTCAGCCCAGTCCCGTACGGTGACCGTACAGATTCTTTTGTTCATCGTCCGTACGGTCGTTGTTCATCCATACCAGTATGGCCGTCGCCGTCGTGACCGCGCCTCGCCGGCCACCGTTTCGGCCGTCCGTACGGCGTGTCCGTACGATGGTGCTGTTCACGCCGTCCGTGCGGGGGGTCTGTTCACCCCGTCCGTACAGCAGCCCGCCGTCGGCCCAGAATTCCGCCGCGGTTTCTTGTTCATCGGTGATGGCCGCCATTCCCGTCGTCGTGACCCTTGTTTTGGTGAGTAAAATTCCTAAACCCGGATTAGGAGCGATGTTGCGTTTTACGGAATTTGGTTTAGGTGTTATCGGTGCATTTTGGACTGGCTTAGATAATAGCAGTGTGTAATTGAGACCGGGTTGAGAATTGATTGGTAGAAATTATTATCGGAAAAATTTAGTGGATTAATGAAAATCGTTGGGGAGGATAATAGGGTTTAATGACCAATTTAGGAGTTCATCGGTGAAATTGCCGGGTATGCCCGGGTTGTCTCTCGAATTATATTGGTGCTCGTGGTTCATTGCATTGCATAACATGGACACGCATTGCGTATGCCAAGAGTGAGGCATGTGATGAAAATTGTGCGAGAATGCGTGTCGCCATGAGCATGTGATCACCTAAATACGCGGCGTTATACGCTGGGTTCGATAATAATGAGCTGTGTGATCACCTAAGGACCTTCGGGTCGATACCGTCCTCATGCACTTTGAAGCGGGACGATGCCCGGTACGTCCGAGGGCGATCATCCTCATGCACTTTGAAGCGGCCGGTTCGCAAGGAGAATAGTGTTGCGCCTCATGCACTTTGAAGCAGAGGCTGAGACACCGGGCCGGATCGGATCTTGCGCCTCATGCACTTTGAAGGTGCTAGACGCACCGGGCCGTGAAAAATTGATGACTCGAGTCGTAATAATAATTAATTGGGCAAGTGTGCCGGTGTGGGCCGAGTGGGCCAAAGAAATGTGCATGACATGTCAATGACATTTGCATGCATAAACATGCATTGAATGGCATGCGAGTGTGTGAGACTCGGTGTGTGAGCATGTGATTGGCGTACGTGTGATAATGTGTGCCACGTATGTCCCGTGATTATTACATATTGAACTATCTAACTGCGGCGGTCGAGAATTGTATGATGGTTGTGTTATGATTTTAAATGTTTGTTTCCGGTCGGGAGATTGCATGCTAGCCTAGCCTAGGTTTAGGGGTTGAACTCTTGAGATTCGTCTTACGGTTGTGTAAACCGAAACTTTCAGACCCCGGCAGTAGGATGCCGAGGTCACCACCTCTTTTTGGGAATACCGCCTTTTATCCAGCAGCGTCGTCGAGCATGCACCCCGGTAGGGATGGAGCAGAACGGAGAAGTGGCTGTTTGGGTTATTCCGGCTGTTGGTGTTTCCTTTTGGTTGTCGTGAACACTTTGTAAAAGAGTTTTAAAATAGTAATATAAGTATGTACATATTTTCTGCATTGATCGTTGTTTATTGGATGGCTATCCTTGGCTCATATTGTAATTGTCTGGGTTTGTTTATTTTATACTTCCGCTTGTGCTTGATCTCGTATGGGCGTGGGTCGGCGACGCTTCCTGGGACGTCGCAATTTATCGACCGAAGGTGGGATGCTCCCGCTTCGTGGGGTACGGGGCGTGACAGTGCTGATCCTTAATGTCACTGTGAGCCCATTGAGGGACTTGTGGGTATACATACCGGTTAGGTGGAGACCTTGCCAAGGGGAGAATTTTGATCGCTTTGTCACAAGGTGTTGTGTTGTGACCATGATTGATATTGAGTAATAGATTGATCAATGGATGGACCATCGACATGTGATTTTGATGAGATTGGTCAATGGACTCCACTATTGACGTTTATGATGATTTAAATGAGTATTTTCTAAATTGTATAAACTTGAAATATATATATATATATATATATATATATATATATATATATATATTCATTAAAGAATTGGATGATGAGTTTTCGGTATTGCTTTATACTTATATATATAGTGGCTGCTTGATTTGCTCAAAAAAAGATATGTACTACTCAATGAGCTATGGTTGCTCACCCATCTCTTTCCAAAATCTTTTTAAATTCCTTGATTAGTAGTCAATAGAAAGCGAGCAATATCGTAGGGACTTTTGGGAGTTGGTTTTTTTTGTTGTGTTTGAAGCTGCGTCATTCGAGTGGAAGGGAAAGACTGCCATGTCATTCCCCTATTCGGATAGGTTTTGGGGTGTGACATAAACATTCATCCACAATTAATTTTATAGATTAAAAGGTGACATTTTGAATCTATTTCTCTGTTTTTAGTTTTCAATTTGACGACAAATGTAGAAGATAGCAGTCATTGCGTAAAGGACGTGCTATATGTCTCCAAATATCGGAGAATAGAATTACAAAAAGATCATACGAATGAAACTGGAGGAATATACAGAGTTTAGGAAGAGATAAACATAGCAGCTGAATTTGTTATTGAAGGTAAAAAAAAGGCAATGGTGATGATGTAGCATTGACATGCCCGTCATGGGCTGATCCCCAAAGGAGACGAAGGAGAAGGAGGGAAAGAGTAGTATGGAGTCGAGTCACACTCACTCAGACTCCAACTACACCTTGTACTAGGATACCACCGAAAATACTGGCTTTCGAGCATTTGAACCACTTCAGACATCTCTGGTCGAACAGATGCATCCTCGTGTGCACACAACAATGCCAATCGGACTAATCGCTCTGCTTCTTCTTCCACATAGTTCCCCTGCAAATTGGGATCGATCACCCTTCCCAACTGGCCTTCATTCATATGTTTTCTAACCGAATCCTCTAACAACAAAACTTAGCCATCAGGGAGAAAGAGGCGCAGCTGCTGTCCCGAGATGAGCTCGAGAAGCATCTTCCCATATGCGAAGACATCATTCTTCAGTGTGCACTTTCCTGTGTGGAAGTACCCAGGGGAAATAAAACCAAGTTTGTCGAGGGGGGGAATGTTGACATAAACATCTTCATAGCGATGATAGGTTTGAGAATCGGAGCCAGAAACAGCTGAATTTTCTTCTACTGGTGATGAGGATGTGACCCCAGTGCCCCGCCTTGGCATGCCCATGGGCCGCTTAATAGTTCCTTCCTCTACATTTCGCTCATGCATGATCATGGCAAGCCAAAATCCTCCTATCATGGCCTCAAAATGCACATTCAGCAGTATATTTGACGCGCGGATGTCGCGATGCGCAATCTTGATGTTACCTTGATTGTGAAGGTGCGCAAGCCCCCTTGCTGCTCCCAAGGCTATTCGCCTGCGAGTAGTCCAATCGAGAGGTCGGGCAAACTGATCTGGTCTCTCTCTAAGATTGTAAGATAGGCTATTGTTGATCATCAAGGGATACACCAGTAAGAGCTCTTTCTTGGTCCGGCAAAAGCCCCTCAGGCGTAGCACATTTGGGTGTGTCGAAATCGTTCTTCCCACTTGCACTTCTGCTTCGAACTTCTTTACCCTCTCCCAATTGACAAAGCTTGCTCTCTTTACTGCCACTAGCGAACCATCGGCCAGGCGGCCCCTGTAAACCTTGTTGCACCAATTGTCCCCCATGATGTTGCCACGGCTAAAGTTGTCTGTTGCGATTCGGATCTCCTTTAGGGAGAAGCTTTTGGGAGGTGGTGTTTTTGGAGGTGTTGGATCGTCTTCATCGGACTCGGTAAAACTGAAGGTTCGGAGATTGAACACCATCCTTAAGCGGGAAAAGGAGAATCTTCTCAAGTACAAATGGATCATATAAGCTTGATGGTTTTTCTCAATTGGTAGATATTGGTTTGGGGATGCCTTCTGCATATCCAAAGAGACTTGATTGTCATAATTGATTTTGTAGGATCTTGTGACTTAAAAACTAATTATGTTCTTGTTCATCTTTTAAAAAATATTTTGTGAAGGAGCTTAGAAAGTTCGTGTCCCTAATTTATACATGTACTAGCCCAATAGCCCGTGTTATGCATGGGATCCACGCAGATTCCATTCATTGTTATTTAAATAGACTATGAAATATTCAGAGCCAAAAATGTTACCATAGCAAGGAGCCAATAGAACAGATTTGTAAAAGTATTTAAAATAGCTGTCATCTCTTTATCTAACAAAAATTAACCGAAATACGGTATCAAAAACCGAGTAAAATATACTTTTAACTAACTGCTCGACTGAACTACACTTATTTGTCGATAAAACGACTCCTAACACTGACGAATAAACTTAGTTATAGCAAACGTTTACTTTTCTCTACGCATAATTCGAACACGAAACCTTTGAAATTCGTCCCGGACAAACCATACTTCGAAATAGTTACTTGACAAACCCCACTGCTCTACAACACTATAAACCATCATTCCACACAAAATCGTAGCTTAATAATTCCTCAATCGAGCCTCGTAATTCAAAATCAATATTCCTTCAAATTTGTGCCCTAATTTCCGAAATCACTACGATTAAACGAAAAGCGGTCTCCATTACTTACCCGGCGTTGCAAAACAGTGTTGATTCGACTTGTCGAGTCGTCCGGATCGTAAGCGCACGAAGATTTTCCCTCTTCCCCCTTTTCTTCTTCTCTGCGTGCGTCCTCTTCTTTCCCTCTTGTTTTCGGTCACCAAGGGTTTGCTTCTTCAACCCTTGCGTTGAAGATAAAGGGTAAATTAATGGGCTGGGCTCTAAACAAAATAATAAGTTATTTAAGCCCATTATTACAAATAAGGTTGAAAACAAATTTGAGATCGGTAAATCTTTTTTGCATATACAAGGATTGATGTGCATGAAGAGGCATGTGCGACTGAACTGATCAATTTCTTCTAAGGATGACTTAATACTAGTTTTCAATTCGATGACAAATGTAGAAGATAGCAGTCATTGCATGAAGGACGTGCTATATGTCTAAAAAAGATCGGAGGATATTATTACAGAAATATCATACAAATGAAAGTGAAGGGGAACAAATGGAGTTTAGGAAGAGAAACATAGAAGCTAAACTTTTTGTTGAAGGTAAAAGGCAATGGTGATGATGAAGCATGGACATGCCAGTCATGGAGCAATCCCCAGAGGAGAAGGGGAAGGAGGGAAAGAGTAGCACGGAGTTGAGCCACACTCACTTCGACTCCAACTACTGCTCGTGCTAGGGTCCCGCTGAAAAAACTCGCTTTCGAGCATTCGAACCACTTCAGACATCTCTGGTCGAACAGATGGATCCTCATGTGTGCACAACAATGCCAATCGGACTAGTTGCTCTGCTTCTTTTTCCACGTAATTCCCCTTCAAATTGGGATCGATCACCCTTCCCAACTTGTTCTTGTTCATAAAATCACCAATCCATTCCTCCAAACTGAGATTTTCATTATCCGCCAAATCACCAAGTTCAGTAATTGACTGCCCCGAGATGAGCACGAGAAGCACATTCCCGTATGCAAAGACATCATTCTTCAGTGTGCACTTTCCTGTGTAGATGTACTCGGGGGCAATATACCCGTGAGTGCCACAGATGGGGGTGTAGACATAAACATCTCCATAGCGATGATAGGATTGATCGGAGTCATAATCGGCTGAATTTTCTCCTACCGGCAATGAGAAACAGACTCCTGTGCGCCGCCTTGGCATGCACGTGCGCCTCTCAATAGTCCCTTCCTCTATATTTCTCTCATGCATGATCATGGCAAGCGAAAATCCTCCTACCATGGCCTCAAAATGCACATTCAGCAGTATATTTGACGCGCAGATGTAGCGATGCATGATCTTGATGTTACCTTGATTGTGAAGGTGTGCAAGCCCCCTCGCTGCTCCCAAGGCTATTCGCTTGCGAATAGTCCAATCGAGAGGTTGGGCAAACCGATCTGGTATCTCTGTAAGATTGTAAGATAGGCTGTTGTTGAACATCAAGGGATACACGAGTAAGAGCGCTTTCTTGGTCCTGCAAAAGCCCCTCAGGCATAGCACATTTGGGTGTGTTGAAGCCGTGCTTCCCACTTGCAGTTCTGCTTTGAAATACTTTTTCCTCCACCAATTGACAAAGCTCTTTATTGCCACTAGCGAACCATCGGCCAAGCGCCCCCTGTAAACCCTGCTGTATCCATCGTCCTTCAAGACGTTTTTGCTGCTAAAGTTGTGTGTCGCTACTCGGATCTCCTTTAGGGAGAAGCTTTTCAGAGGTGTTGGATCATCTTCAACGGACTCGGTAAAACTGAAGGTTCGGAGATTGAACACCATCTTTAAGCGGGGAAAAAGTAGATTCTTCTCAAGTACAAATGGATTGTATAAGCTTGATGGTTTTTCTCTAATGGTGGTGATTGGTTTGGGAATACCTTCTGCATTTCCAAAGAGACTTTGCTTGTACACACAGCCGTCCTGTGAATGAATGAAATAGTAGGAAAAGTCGTTGGGATTGTAGGCTGACGTCAAGTGTGGGGCCATCACACTCCAAAGCCTTCCTGTGAACAGCTGCTTCGTGGAGAGAGAGAGAGAGAGAGAGAGAGAGAGAGAGAGAGGTTTCATTGCCGCAAAGCTTCCAAATTTGACAAAACGCGACACTCATATAAAGCAAATTTTGCGTTCTCCTTGTATTCTTGGATTCCTACGCGTTGAAAAATCCAAATGTGAAGAGCACTAGCCCTTCTTCTTTACTACATGGGCTGTACATCACATGAAATACCTATTAACTTTTGCGTATCATAGAATATCCATACTTCTAATCACTTGTATTTGGAACACGTGTGTTGCATGTCGATTGATCATATTGCAATTGTTATAATATATCTCGAATTTGAGTCCGCGAACAAAACCTGACCCAAGATAAATTAAAGAAAAATCTGGAAGTTGAATATCTGTAGATGTCCATCGTGGAAATCTATATTTCCTGATCAATTTTGGAGTGCAAAGCCATGTTGGAATTCTGATCGTGAAAAATAGACTTCAAAAAAGCAAAGTGGATATTTGGATTTCAACTTGCTGATTTGTTGAGTCAAACAAAAGTTCCAGTAGATTACGGAAATCAATTTCCGTGTAAACGTTGGTCAACAAAATAGGAAAGTGGACTTGGTTTCCTTCTCTAACTCAGCATGTGTCAATAAAGGAAATAACAGAAGTCCAACTTTTAGTGGGACTTGGCAAAGGGCACCATATATTGACTAATATATATATATATATATATATGCACATAATACAAGTCAGGGGATGCTTCTTCACGTAGACTCGAAGCGCCAAAGTCTTGGTGGCTGTTGTTGATGAATATGTGAAGATTCTTGAAGCGCCGTTACTAAGCGAGTGCTTGGCGAGGGTTACCTTCGTGGGTTTTTTGTTCGTGAATTACATTCAAGAAGAATTAGTGTTCAAGCGAAAATCTTGTGGTAAGATTTGTGTATAATTTTTTCGTGAGATTAAGAGATTATTTCGTAAGGAATTGTGGGGTTAAACACTACGTGAGTTATTAGGTGTAATTGGGGCTTGAGAAACACTTAAGAGTGTTTGAGTGACTCGAGTGTAGTTGTAATTTCCGTTATATCACTTAATCTATAGTAGAATTCCGTGCTGCTCTCCCCGTAGACGTATGTCACTACAACCGAACCATGTAAATCTAGTGTCGGATTTATTTTCTTGTTCTATCAAATTTATTGTTTGATCGCTTGGCTTCTGCAACAGCAATTTCAATGGAAAATTTTCTATATCAGTGGAAATACTAGTGTTAATTTTAGATCATTATTCTTTTCTCTATGTTCCATTTTAAATAGATAATCCTTGGAAACAAGACACAAGGGTATTAACAATAACTAGAAATCTTTCCTGTGATATAGTACGGATATAAAACATATAGTAAGTCAATACTGCAAATAAATAAAAATTGGGATTTATTTCTGTTAGATCTTCCTGGTGTTAGGATTCACCAAATATTGGAAGAGACAAAAGTACTTGATATGAGTTCATCTTCCTTGTAAACTACCTGCACATCCACTCTTGGCATATTGGGATTGTCATGTGACTTAAAAACTAATAATGCTCATGTACATCCTTTGAAAAAAATATTTTGTGAAGGAGCTTAGAAAGTTTGCGTCACTAATTTATACATGTACTAGTCCAATATCCCGTGCTATGCATGGGATCCATCCAGATTCCATTCATTGTTCTTTAGATAGAGTATAAAATATTCACAGCCAAAAATATTTCAATAGTAAGGTACCAAAAGAATAGTTTGTAAAAACGTATTTAAAATAGCTATCATCGCTTTATCTAAGGGATGTACACAAAAATTTTGGTATGTGCACCATTCCCCAATCTTCATTTAACAAAAAGTATCTCAAATCCATTACCCTCGTTGTTAGTGTGGAAATTGCAACATAAATTTGTCCATGGCTAAAAACTGGCTTGGGGAGAAATAAGCCAACACAGCTTCAAGTTTGGCCAATGAGAAAGGGGAAATGCTTTCTTTTTAAGAATAAATGGCCAATGAGACTCAATGGGTGACGTCATGGGAACCTTATCAAGCCGGATTTACTCCTATTCGCAAGTTAATCCGATGGGTGAGGATTCCAAAGCGTGTATGCGCGAATTCCCCTTTCTCTCTTTCTTTCATTTTTGCTTTGTGAGTTGTCTCCTCTTTTTTCTTCTTATCTCTCGGTTGTGTCCCCGTCTTTTCTCTTTTCTTCTCTTCTTCTTTCTTCACAGCTCCTGCAGAATTTGAGAGCTCGTTAGGTGGGCTGAGTTTGCGCCCATGGGCTTTGGCCCATTGTTACAGTGATAATTGTTGAGGATGATGTCTTGTATTCTGTTATATGGAAAAGCTAAATATTTTAGGCTATGTGGGCAATTTTGTAATTTGTGCCATGTAGGGTTTCGCTATATATGTTTAGGGCGAAACAGGTCTCTAAGAAGAGAAGGAGGGAGTGAGAAAGAGCGGCTGTATACTTTTCTACGTTATTAGTGAAACATATCTCATCTCCCCGTGGACGTAGGTAGGCGGAACATCTCCCCTGCTGAACCACGTAAATTCTTGTGTTGTGCGAATTTCCATTACTTTTCTTGCATCGTTGATAGGATTGAATTAGATATTCGACAATTGGTATCAGAGCTTGGTTCGGCAAGCTATCAAGATGGCAGGAAAGGGTTCGAGTGTCAAGTACGACATCGAGAGGTTTAATGGAAAGAACAACTTCACTCTCTGGCGACGAAGAATGATGGATCTTCTGATTCAGCAGGGCCTGTCGAAAGTGCTGTTGGAGAAAGGGAAGAAACCAGAACCGAGTGATGAAGATTGGGGGGAGATGGAGGAAAGGGCGGTAAGCGCCATTCGATTGAACCTATCTGATGAGGTTCTGCAGTATGTGGTGGATCTCAAGTCGGCTCTGCAGGTGTGGTCGAAACTTGAGAGCATCTATATGACCAAGTCCCTAACGAACAAACTGTTTTTGAAAAAATAGTTATACTCTCTACAGATGGAGGAAGGCTCAGATCTGTTAGAACACATCAACACGTTCAATCAGATTCTGAGTAAACTTGCAAGTCTGGAGGTTTCAATGGAAGATGAAGACAAAGCCTTATTACTGCTATCGTCGCTACCAGCATCTTATGATCATCTGGTGACGACACTCTTGTATGGAAAGGAGACGCTTGAGACAGATGAGGTCACTGCTGCCCTATTATCTAATGATACGAGAAAGAGGGTTAACAGTGCTACGGCACAAGGTGAGGGTCTCATCGGAAAAGTCAAGGAGCAGGAACGGGGAAGAACAATCCAGCGGGAATCCGGGAATAAGGGTCGATCGAAATCAAGAGGGGCTAAAACAAAACTCTCTTGTTATTATTGCAAGAAGGAAGGCCATCTGAAAAGAGACTGTTATAAGAGAAAAGAAGACTTGAAAAAGCGCGAGAAAACTTCTAATCAAGCAAGTGTGGTTGATAGCTTAGACGGTGATGATGGAGATCTTCTCTCTATATCATCAGGTAAGAATCAGTTCGCTGATTCATGGATTTTAGACTCTGGATGCTCTTATCACATGTGCCCGAATAGAGATTGGTTTGATTCATACCGGTCATACAATGGTGGATCTGTTCTAATGGGGAATGATGCGGTTTGCAAAACCATTGGAATAGGGACTATTAAAATTAGAATGTTTGATGGTATAGTCAGAACTTTAGTGGATGTAAGGCATGTTCCAGATCTAAAGAAAAATTTGATATCTTTGGGTGCGCTTGATGTGAATGGGTGCAAGTACGCAGCAGCAGGTGGAGTTCTCAAAGTCATCAAAGGAGCTATGGTTGTCATGAAAGGAGAGTTGACTGGAAGTTTATACAGGCTCATAGGGAGTACAGTAATAGGTGGAGCATCTGTGACTACAGCTGCAGAGTCCGATACAGATGACACTCATCTGTGGCATATGCGGTTAGGGCATATGGGTGAAAGGGGTATGATGGAGCTTCATAAAAGGAAGCTGTTAAAAGGTGTCAAAAGCTGCAAATTGAACTTCTGCAAATACTGCGTTTTCGGGAAACAGAGCAGGGTTAGTTTCAGAACTGTGAAGCATACGAGCAAGGATGTACTTGATTATGTACACAGCGATGTATGGGGTCCTACACCGATCAAATCAAAAGGTGGAGCCGAATATTTTGTGACCTTCATTGATGATTACTCAAGGAAAGTCTGGGTCTACTTCATGAAGCAGAAGAACGAAGTCTTCTCCAAATTCAAAGAGTGGAAGGCTGAAGTAGAAAGGCAGACAGGAAAGAAGCTAAAGTACTTGAGAACAGACAATGGAGGGGAATACAGGTACACACCATTCCTGGAACTATGTAAAGCTGAAGGGATCACACGTCATTTCACAACATCAGATACACCACAGCAAAACGGTGTAGCTGAGAGGATGAACAGGACACTTTTGGAAAGGGCTCGGAGTATGAGGCTGAATGCAGGGCTGAGTAAAAGTTTCTGGGCAGAAGCAGTTAATATGGCATGCTATCTCATTAACAGGTCTCCATCTACAGCCATTGAATGCAGAGTTCCTGAGGAGGTATGGACAGGTAATCCGATTGACTATTCTAGTTTGAGAGTATTTGGTTGTCCAGCCTATGTTCATGTACAAAGTGGACATCGTTCCAAGTTAGACTCAAAGTCTAAGCAGTGTATCTTTCTTGGCTATGAGAAAGGTGTGAAAGGATTCAAGCTATGGGATCCTAATGCACGGAAGACCGTGGTTAGCAGGGACGTTGTCTTTGATGAATCTGACATGGTGAAGGCAAATAACAGTTCACATGCAGATGGCAGAAGTGAAGAAGGATCTACGTGCGGGTGGAGTCGGGTGAACCAGAAATAGCGGGAGGAAGGGAATCATCCAAGAACTCACCGAATCACGGAGACAGAAAAGAT